ATCTCTGTGTGCCTGTGTGTGTCTGTGTATCTCTGTGTGCCTGTGTATCTCTGTGTGTCTGTGTATCTCTGTGTGTCTGTGTATCTCTGTGTGTCTGTGTATCTCTGTGTGCCTGTGTGTGTCTGTGTATCTCTGTGTGCCTGTGTATCTCTGTGTGTCTGTGTATCTGTGTGTGTCTGTGTATCTCTGTGTGCCTGTGTGTGTCTGTGTATCTCTGTGTGCCTGTGTGTGTCTGTATGTGCCAATGTGTATCTGTGTCTGTCTCTCCCACGCCATCCTGACCCTGCTCTTTTCCCCAGCTCATGGCTTGGCCCTGCACCCCCCCCTCAGCCAGTGGGACACAGTGAACCCAGCCTCAAACCTGTGCACTGTGTCCGTCCTGCCTGTGTCAGAGGATGTGCCACTTGCCGCCTTCTCGCTGGAGCTGCAGCACGCCCTGGGGGCCATCGGTGCCGTCGCTCACTTGCTTTAATCCGTAGAACCTGACAAGCGTAAAATACGCTGATGTTCGGACCCCTTAATCTCAGTATCATAGCTTTGGATAGGGGTAACACACAGACACGAGTCACATATCGTTGGAATCGAGAGAACTTACTTGATCGTCCAAGTTGCAACATTGTGCTCTAAAGTATTCCAGAGTAATCCTGTGCACAATGAGGCATATATTTTAAACATTTTTGACTAAAACGCATCCCTATTAATTCATAATATATCATTATTATTCACCTTAGATGGAAAACAAAGCACATATTTGCTTCCACAATGATCCATGTATTACCCTTCTAGGGAAATTTTTTTTTTTTTCTAATTTATTTATAATAAGCCTATAAGTCAAGGGATAGAAAATCACTCAAAAATTGGCTGGAGTTCTGCTACGATTAGCAACAAAACACAGCATTCTCCTTATTAGGAAGACAATTATTTGATATTTTTGTAATATTTATTCACAACAGTTTGTATACTGTATGTATGTTTGATGTCGAGCTCCTTCAAATCAGTTGAAATAGAACGCGCCCATCGTGTAAGTTGAACACCTTTCACATGTAAACTCAATGTGCTACTGTCTTGGTTGGTTTGAGGCTAAAATGCCGACTGATTTGCTTCTCCAATTTCACTTTAGGCGGAAAAATGATAGCAATGAACATTATGCATTAGACTCTAGAGGAATGCCATAATTGCTGTCTATCAGATAACTTAAATCAGATAAGTTATGAATGGAAGTAGAATCTAAGATACCCATTTCCGCCTGGCACTAACCCTGTATTCCTTCACAGTACTAAGCCATAGAAAGGTCCCCAATGAAAACCCCTGCATTCCCGCATCAAAGAGACTCTCATCTCAACATTTATAGGATTATACTTGTAGTGCCTGCAAATTGCTCAAAATGCTCAAAAATGGATAGGGGTAAAAGGGTGAATTAGCACATTTTGGGCACTGTCACCACGGTGTGCTAATCACGCATGATGATGAGGGTGATGAAGGTGATGGTAGCTAACGGTCTAATTTCAAACCCCTCCAGGTCCCACCCTGCTGCTCACCAGTGACATCATAATGCAGCGCCTGGGGACCACTGCCCTCGACAGGTCAGTCTCCCAAACTGTACCCAGAAGCCTTTGCATTTCCCACAATCCCCCTGTTTACTCACCTGCTTTGGCAGGTGGGAGGGCAGATTTCAGATTGCCGGCCAGCCCTTGGAGCTTGGCTGAGGGTATGGGCCGTAGATGAGTACAGTGCTGCTGGATTGTGTGTGTTTGCCTAAGCCCCCCCCCCCCACCCCTCCCCCACACATTGTCGTGCAGTGCGCACGAGTATCGCCTCTCCAGCTGGCTGGGTCACCAGGAGGACATTCACCGCATCGTACTCTACCAGTCTGATGGCTCCCTTACCGCCTGGACCCAGCGCTGCATCCGACAAGCCGACTGCATCGTCATCGTGGGGCTGGGGGAACAGGAGCCCATGGTTGGGGAGGTGGGGGTCTACCTGGTGTGGGCGGGGAGGGGGAGGGTGGGGGGGCATGGGGGGGGGTACCTGGAGCAGGGAGAGGGGCATGTAGAGCCCCGAACACCCGCTGGAGCCCCGTGGGTTATTGCTGCTCATGTTCAGTGCCGCTGTGTTTCTCCAGATGTGACCATGGTCTAACCATGTTAACATTCAGCAGTCAAACCATGACAGAGAAAGTAAATCACACAGGCAGCAAGGCATCTGCTTCAATAATCACCCCTCACAGACACGCAAAACATGACTATTCAGTCACGCTCTGTTAGCAGCAGACTGTAATCTGTTTGAACCGAAATCAGAGTTACGGGAAATCAAAACCCGCTGGAATTATTCCAGGGGAATAATTATCATTCACCGCCCCGCGTCTCCATTCCTCACTCAACAGTAGCGTGAGCTGGGATCAGAGACGCCGCAAATCAGAATGCCGGTCAGACAGTCCCTAATTAGGGTAATTAGAATGAAAAGGATGGATGGGGCGAGATGGCATTAAACTACAAGAGGAGGGAGTACTTTGATGTGCTTTGAGTATTTTGGGGTGTCGACTTCAGTCATGTGGGTCTCGCTGTCACATTTTAATTGAACTGAATTCATAATGCTTTTATTAGCCTGAAAAACTGATATAGATATACTCACACAAGGGTATGCTGAGTTTTATTAAATTATGGAATATGGTGTAAAATTCCCCATAAAGCCTTGTTTGTAACCCAGAGAAGCTGAGTACCTTTATTGGTACACAGCCCTGGATCGTGACTATTACTGGTCAGATTCACTTTCAGAAGCTGTCCCTTTAAACGGAGAATCCCAGCCAAAAACCTCCCTGACCTGACCCCCCCAGCTGGAGCGCATGCTGGAGGGAAGCGCCGTCAGGGCCCAGAAACACTTGGTCCTGCTGCACCGTGAGGACGGGCCGCCCCCCCAGGGCACAGCAGACTGGCTGAACATGCGCAGCTGGATCTCCAGACACCTACACCTGTCCTGCCCTCGGAGGCTGTTCTCCAGGAGAAGTCTGCCCAAGCTGGTGAGCCAAGCACCGCTAGCTGATCAGTTACACAGCTGCTCTCTTATTGCGCCTCTCGTACAAAAAAACGGAAATAGTGCCGCACTGAGACACCATTTCCCACTAAATAAGCTCCTCACTCCCACTCCACAACACTAAAATGGAAAGGGCACAGAGCGCAGGAGAAGGCTGGTCAAGGCCGTGCTGCTTGGGATCGATTTCATGGGATCTCACAGAATCCCATGGGATCTCATGGGATGTCGCCCTCGGCTGCTTGCAGCTGCCCGCCTCCCCCCTTGCTGGAGGGGAGAACATTCCAGGTCATCCACCAAACATGAAGACATCTAAAATTAGGCTTAACACTCCCAAAGAAAATCCCATCCCCCAAATTTTGTTCAACTTTTGCTCCTCCATGTGCCCTTTTATAATCGCTGACATTTGCACACTCATGTTATGTTCAGTGACATTTACACTCATGATACACTCTATGACACTTACACTCCTGTTACACTCTATGACATTTACTCTCCCATTACTTTCTGTGATATGTATTCTCCCGTTACGTCTGTGACATTTATACTCCTTTTGCGCTCTGTGATTCGTACACTCCTGATATGCTCTGTGACGTTTACTATTTTGTTACGCTCTGTGACATTTACACTCCGGTTGCGCTCTGTGATGTTTACACTCCTTTTATTCATGTTGCGCTTTGTGACTCTTGCACTCCTGATATGCTCTGTGACGTTTACCGTTTTGTTGCGCTCTGTGACATTTACACTCCGGTTACGCTCTGTGACATTTACACTCCGGTTGCGCTCTGTGATGTTTACACTCCTGTTATGCTCCCCAACACCAGAGAGAGATGTATCAGCGGCTGTCCCAGAAGCCACCCGATCAACACTCCGACTTCTCTCGCCTTGCCCGAGTCCTCACTGGCAACGGCATCGCCCTGGTGTTTGGGGGCGGTGGAGCCAGGTAGGATTCCCCCTACTGGGTGGACAGGGCAGCGCTAAAACCCTGATGATCTGTCACCTTTATTCACCATGACAGACAGATGGCGCCTTTTCCCATATCACTGACTTACTCTGCGGTTGCTTTAGCAGATCTGTATTATCATCTGGAAAAGACTAGAAACCCACAGATAATGATACCAGCCTTTTACTGGTAATTAATTGGCCCAAAGAAAATCAGTTTGACCTAAAATAGGCTCCTGCTCCAGGCCAGGTAATGACACTCACCTGTGCCTCCTTGCAGGTAAGATAATTGGAGGATCTCGCCTAGCAGGTGCCTGCAAGAAAGGTCCTTCCTCACTTCCTCATTAATTTGCCTCCCCCTCCCCTGTCTCTCCCCTGTCCACTGCTGAATCCTGGGGGAGCTTGTTCTGATTATCTCCCGAATCTGACAGCAGCTCCTGCCTTTCACATTGTTTGTGTCTGTCAATTGGCACCTGACCTGCTCTTGCCGCTCCCTGATTGGTGCTTTTACCAGTTTCTAAAAATGGCAGCCTCCTGCTTGTGTTCCTTGGTATGGCTCTGGGCGATTGCGTCATGTCTGTGTCAGCTGTGAGTCGCCCCCACTCTGACACGCCCCTCTATCGGTCCAGGGGCTGCTCCCACGTGGGGGTGCTGCGGGCACTTACGGAAGCCGGCATCCCCGTGGACATGGTGGGCGGCACTTCTGTGGGTTCTCTCATGGGGGCGCTGTATGCAGAGGACAGGAGCAGCAACCGGATGAGGCTGCGGGCCCGTGAGTGGGCCATGGTGAGCAGGGCTGTGATTGGCAGAACACGTAATTACCTTTGAAAATTAGCATTGTCGGGGCAAGGAAAGCAGCAACGGTAATTAAAATGTCCCCCACCCCCACCGGCCCTTCAGGAGATGACATCGGTGTTTAAGAAGGTTCTGGACCTGACCTACCCTGTTACATCCATGTTCTCTGGGGCTGCCTTCAACTCCAGCATCAGCTCCGTCTTGAAGGACAAGCAGATTGAGGTGTGTGACGCTGCCTTCCCCTCTGCTTAGTGCCGCGTAGCCCTGCATCGCCTCGGCAGGTTGGACTCGGCTCCCTAGCAAATGCAGCAGTTATTGAGGGTGTGTTAGATACATACTACCCTCCCCCCCACAGTTTAAATATACACGGTATGGAAGCTTATAATGATACATTTGCCATTTTGTACAAACACATTGGAATTTTTCTGGTTTCCGCATAGCCCATCCTGCCATCCCAGGAGACACACACACACACACACGCACACACACACACACGCACACACACACAGACACACGCACACGCACACACACACACAGAGCTTACTCTGTCGGCCTTGGGATTTGAACCTGTGACTTTACAGACTCCATACCGACTGCTAACCCACTGTATGGGTGTCAGAGTCGATTCTGTTCTGTTATTTCAAAGATAGCTCAAAGATACTGCTCCCTGTTGCTCTGGCTAAACCATCTCTCTTTCTCTTTTTCTCTCTCTTTCTCTGCTTTGAATTTCTCTCAATATCCCTCCGTATTTGGAGAAGCTTTAGCTCTCAGACTCACAGTGCTAGTAAGTGGTCTGTTCTGATAGGAAGCTCGGCCTTAGGCCCATCTTCATCGTGTGACGAAAGCTCCCATCTCCTGCACGGCATCATGGGAATGTGGTCGGCTTTCTCCATACCTTCAGATAGGAAAATTAACACCTTATGTTGAAATAGCAAGTATTACAACAGCTGTAAAAAGAAAAGGGTGATCTAAAAAGGTATCTCTTTCGGTGTGTGTAAATCAAAGCATGAAAAGCTAGTGTTCAGACGCTTTGTCAGTAAGAGATTAGCTGTGGGTTTTTGGCTGTTTCAGCCTTGTAAGTAACAGGTGCAATCGTAATTGACACAGTTGAGATTCTCAGGTACGAAGGCATTTCACTTTCAGCCACCAGTGTGATTGGGGAAACGAGTCCACTTCCTTGTTATTGAGCTGCATTTAGCCCCGCCTCCTATCCGAGGGGCGGTCCCAGTGGGCTGGCTAAAGCATTAAACACTGGTGTTAGCTTTTTAGTAGGTGCCTGAATGAAACCCTCAATCCCTGGATGTATGTGGCTACAGCCCCTGTTGATGGGTCATTCTGCCGCTGATCAGCCCCTTCCTACCTCCCCCAGGACCTGTGGATCCCATATTTCAACATCACCACTGACATCACAGCCTCCTCCATGAGGGTGCACACAGATGGTGAGCCCCCATTTCCCAGCTGTCTCTGCTGCTGCCTGCTGCCCTCCTCCTGGCATGCACAGCTAACCCCCCAGGCCTGCCCCCTTGCAGGGTCTTTGTGGAGGTACATCCGTGCCAGCATGTCACTTTCGGGATACCTGCCCCCCCTCTGTGACCCTAAAGATGGACATCTGCTCATGGACGGGGGCTACATCAACAACCTGCCCGGTGGGCTGAGTTCATCTTTCCCTCATTGTGCTATTTTCTGGTTTGGCTGTGTGCAGGTTTAGTTGTATTCAAGATACAGTATGTTCCGGTTTACCTGTATTCAGAGTGTGTTTATGTTTACCTGCATTCATATTGTGTTCAGGTTATGTGTGTTCACAATTTGTTCGGATTTATATTTTGGATTTTGTTTATATTTTCGTGTGTGTTCAGGTTCAACTGTATTTAGAGTATCTTAAGGTTTCCCTGTATTCACTGTTTGACCAGGTTTACCTATGCTTAGAGTGTGTTCAGGGTTACTCGTATTCACGATGTGTTCTGGTTCCTTTCTGGGCCCTGTGTTATTGGGTAATGTATAGTATAACCACCCCCACTCCCTTTCAGCGGATGTGGCGCGCTCCATGGGATCCAAGGTGGTGATTGCCGTTGACGTGGGCAACCAGGACGAAACCCACCTGACCAATTATGGCGACTCCCTGTCAGGGTGGTGGTTACTGTGGAAACGGCTCAACCCCATGGCAGAGAAAGTGAAGGTGGGAGGCCTCACACGGCCTGGTTTCGGATAGTGGCTGCCGTGTTCAGTGGCGCTCATCTGACGGCTCTCGTGAAGGTGCTGGACATGGCGGAGATCCAGACGCGGCTGGCCTATGTGTGCTGCGTGCAGCATCTGGAGGCCATGAAGAGCAGCGAGTACTGCGAGTACATCCGGCCGCCCATTGACCGCTACGGCACGCTGGAGTTTGGCAAGTTCGACGAGATTGCTGTGAGTCTAACTGATTTTGACCTCGTCTCCATCTCCATCTCCATCTCCCTCTCTCTCTCTCTCATTGTTAAGCGTGTGCATTTTAACCTGATACGAAATGGAGGACTCATTTTACTACCAGCCAGATTGTCGCCTTCATGGAGGGTGCTGTATAAAAGTCCTATTCCCAAACGCTCTGGCGACCTTCAGTGGCATGTGCTGCATTGTGCCATGGCCACTAAGGTCTTTGTCGCGAAGTTCACAGCTTTCTCCTTTGTGCAATCTTTGTAATGTACCAGACACATTGTTTCACTGTTTTTGTGACTGTTTGAAATTGCTTTCTTTTTCAACTCATGGATAGAGTCTTTTGCAGACTTGGGTTCATTTTATCTAAGGAACTAGTTATTCTTGGGGTTGATTATTCACGACGTCAGAAGGAGCTGTCTACCTGCTTAAACTTTCTGATTGGCCAAGCAAAGCTGGCCATATGGAAGAGCAACAGATTAGAGGCGGAAGGGCAAAGTGTAGACATAGTCGACATGTTTCAGGCTTTAGTGGAATCCAGGGTTGGAGTGGAACATGCCTTCTTTCGAGTTACTGATAACATCGACCTTTTCTCACGCAAATGGTGCATAAACAAGGGTTTGGCTTCGGTGGTTGATGATAGTACCCTGGTGTTTCATTGGTGATGTGTATCATTCTTATATCGTGACGTTGGGATGTTTGGGGGGTTTGGGCTACGTGGCTCCTTTATTGTGACTTTGATCCGCTGGATGGTTCGATAAATGTGTTTTAAACCGTTAAACCATCTCTCTCTCACACACACACTCTCTTTCACTTTTCCCATCTCTGTCTCTATCTCTCTCTGTCTCTCTTTCTCCCTGTCCCTCACTCTCTCTCTCTCCATCCCTATCTCAGTCTCTCTGTGTTTTTGTCTCGCTCAGGCTGATTCAAGATACTTTGTGCAATTAAGGTATGTGTCTCTATTGGCAAAATGTAAACAAAGGTGCTTTAAAAATTAAGTCTTCTTTTCTCGACACCATCACCCTCCAACATCGAGCTTTATCATTCTAGATCTCCGTTTTAACTTCACTATGTATTTTACTAGAGTAGTAACATTTACATTTAATTATTCAGCAGATGCTTTGGTCCAAAGAAACAAGTAAGTGAGGAAAGCTTAGGGTCTGAGTACTGAGTACAGTGTTAAGGTTAGGGCTCAGGAGGGGGGTAATGTGATTACTCTGCCAACTACAGGAGTGAAACTCACTAAGCTGTACATTACCCACCTCAAGAATATTAGAACAGATTAGCTCCTGGGGCTTGAACTGACAAACATCAGGTAATAATACCTTTCAGCAGGTAAGGATCTTGTGCCTGTGATCCGAAGGGCGATGATTCAAAAACCCAGAACTGGCAGAGTGATGTCACCATTAGTCCCCTGAGCAAGGCCCTTAAACCCCAACTGGTCCGGGGACTTTGTAACCCTGCATGAAGGGAAACCATATCTCATTATATATAACACCAGTCAGACGTAATGTTTCTCAGTAAGACCCTGATTGCCTCCACTCAGGCTGATATCTGTTTCCTGAGCGCCCTTGCAGGATTCCACAAGCGACGTTTGGTGGTCTTACCCCACGTTGTGGTTTGTGTGGTTAGCTCTCGGCAGCAAACTTGCGGTTGGACATGCACAGAGCGTCCTGTTCCTTATTGCATTATGGACGGGTCACAGAGCCTCAGGTTAAGTACCTCACTCAGGAGCATGACAATAAATCCATGCAGGAAGGGCAGGTGGAGGAACATGGTATTGACCTGCCCACCCTGGAGAGCCCTGAAGCTGGACCATAATGCAGGGCCTGCTAGCTCAGAGTCTTCTGTACAGTATTACAGCCATATAAAGAGACAGAACACACTGTGTGGAAGAATGAGGACAGGCTCTGTGAGGTGGGAGGGGGCACCCAGCAGGCATGAAAAGAGAGGACATGGGGGAGATGGTTCAAAGTTGGGGAGATGGTGATTAGTGGGGGAGAGAGGCAGTTTTTCCATATGCCAAAAGGGCCTTACTCAAGGGCCCAACGGCGACATCACTCTGCTGACACTACAATTCAAGGCAGCCCCCTGCCCCCTCACTCCCCTGTGCCGCTTTTCAGGAGGTGGGCTACCAGCACGGGAAGACAGTGTTCGACGTGTGGCGGCGAAGCGGCGTGGTGGACAGCATGCTTAAAGACAGGCACCAGGAGTACCACAGGACCAAGAGCAACCATGTGAGCAGGGGCACCGTCCTTGTGTTTAAATTTCACTTAATCTTTTCTGACAGACATCTTTGTGCTGTGTGGTTGCCAGTTTGGTTGAGACAGACCTGGCTTTGCAGTCTGACAAGCAGGCATGCTGATGTGTCGTTTTCCGGAACTTTCCGGGCCGACTCGTGGGCTGGCGGCAGGCGGCAGATGAGAAGCTGACATTTCCAGCTGGCTCATCACACTCTGACTCATCTGGTTTTTCTCTCTTTGCCTCCTCACTCAGGTGCTCACGTGCCCCAACGCATCCTTCACAGACCTTGCGGAAATCGTGTCCCGAATCGAGCCAGTCAGACATGCTTATGTGGAAGGTGAGACTGCCTCTGTTTGTGGGTTTGGATCATGGTATCAGCAGGGTTTAGAAAGACCAAGCAGGGGCGGTTCAAATGACCTTAGGAAACTGTGAGGATCTGTCCATGCTACTGATCACAGAAGAACAGTGAAGTGGGATTTGGTCATGGTGACTCTCATAGGAGAACAGTGAAGTGGGATTTGGTCATGGTGACTCTCATAGGAGAACAGTGAAGTAGGATTTGGTCATGGTGACTCTCATAGGAGAACAGTGAAGTGGGATTTGGTCATGTTGACTCTCATAGGAGAACAGTGAAGTAGGATCTGCTCATGGCGCTGATCACACAAGAACAGTGAAACAGGACCTGTCCATGACACAGATAACAGTAGAAGGGTGAAGCTGGATCTGTGTATGATGCTGATTACAGAAGAACAATGAAGCATGATTGCATGGTGCTGAGTACAGGACAAGAGTGAAGTAGGGTCTGCCCATTGTGACTATTGCAGTAGAAGAGTGAAGAAGGATCTGTCCACGGTCCTGGTCACAGTTGAACAGTGAAGCAGGATATTCCATGGAACTGATCACAGGAGAACAATGACTAAGACTAAGCAGGGCTGGTACAAATGACCTTAGGAAACTGTAAGGGTATGTCCACGGTGCTGATCCCAGGAGAATAGTGAAGTAGGATCTCCTCATGGTGACTATCACAGGAGAACAGTGAAGCAGGATCTGTCCATGGTGACTATCACAGGAGAACAGTGAAGCAGGATCTACCCATGGGTGACTGGCACAGCAGAACAGTGAAGCGGGATCTGTCCATGGTCCTGATCACAGGAACCATGACCCAGGATTGGTACATGGTACTGTACCAATCACAGGGAAGCAGTCAATCATGTTGAGTCCTATCCATGGTTCTGATAACAAATGTACAGCATCAGGATGAGGGTCTGCCTATGGTGCTGATCAGAATGTCAGTGATACCATGTGGCCCAGTTCCTTGTTACCAGCTCTCACATTCTCCATTAGTGTTTTGTACCCAAACTCAAACTGAGAAAATTGGAAGAAAATTATATGAACAACTTTGAGTTAATAAGGCAACACACACACACATACACACACACACACACACTGGTGACCACTGCAGTCCCCAGCATGAGAAAATTGCCTGTTAGTTACCCAGTGACATAAATGTCCTCCTCTTTCTCCTATGTGCTCCGTTCTCCCCCACACTCATAATCCCGCTCCCCCCCTGGGCCTTCCTCTTCCTCTCTTTCAGAGGAGTCGGACTACCAGACAGACTATGACGAGGAGGCCATGGAGAGTGCTCTCTCTGACATGGACACGTCCGCTCAGCTCGGAGAAATCACCGAGGAGGAGACGGCCAACACGGTACGTGACAAGGGGGTGGATTAACAGGTCAGGGCATTGTGCCTGTGCCCGGAAGGTCACCAGGTCAAATCCTAGGGTTTGCAGAGTGATTTTACCGTTGGGTCGCTGAGCGAGGCCCTTAACCCCCAAGTGTTCCAGGCGCTGTCTGATCCTGCTTTTTATAAAGATACCTCGCTGTGGGTAAAAGCCTCTGGTAATGTTAAAAAAGTAAAAGTAAAAGAAAAAAGAATGGGTCCCCTGTAAATTAATCAGAAAAGCCCACCGTGAGTCAGCAGGGATACAGAACGCTGAAACGCCGGTAATTGGTCTGAATCACTAAGTGCTATCACTCTTAAAATGTCGCCTCAACGCAGAGCACACTTTAGCTCCCCTATTACTCATGACGGCGTGTAGCATTAATAATATGTGCATGTCGTAGGTGTTCCTACTTAAAAAGGCCCGTGCCACTCGAAGACTTCAAAGCCCTTCTCTGTACTACAGATTTGAGGGACACTGTGGTGATCTGCAACCCTTGTCAGCAGATCGTTAATGATATTAAACAAGCCGAAATCCCTAATCTTTTATTTTATGTACAACACGCTTTTCATAATAAAAGTGCTTGGAAGACTATGTTCTCCTCACTTTAGTCTTTTATAGATTTCCTACATGACCATATTTTCTGTTTTTTAAATGCATGTATCAAAATATTCCAGAAAATTCTGATTCCCCCCTCCCCGGTTTATAATATTAAGACTATAATCTGCGATAGCGCCCGTAAATATGTTACCAAAAGCAAAACTTTTATGAAAATATGTAAATCAGGGTAGATAAAACCCGGCTGTTACATAATAATGTTTGTCGCACCACAGTTAAAAATCAGTTTAAGTGCTCTATAAAAAATGTTTTTACTTAGTCGTATTCATTTATGTACACTTGGTCTAGATGAAAGGAGTACGAGATGAAAAAAGCACCTTTTATACATTAAAAGAGTCAAGCAGCCATTGTGCAGAGCAATTGCTGGCTGATGGAGGTAGACGGCGCATGAGTGGTGAATTTAAAATCAGGTCTTTGTAGTTTATGGGGTGGGGGCAGGGAGTGTTACGGTACAGCAAACACAGGGAAGGCTCACGGGTTTAAGTTAAACATAGAAACACAGTGTTTCCTAGGTCATTCATTTATCTGCTGTGGGTGTGGATGTTACTTGACCGTCAGTGCAGCTTACAGGAAGTACAAACATGATCAAGTGAAATCTGTTGATTTAAGCTTTATTAAGCAGACGGGGGGCTGGGGATTATAACTGTCTCTCCTCTGCTGTTTCAGGATGAAGAAATGGAAATGAGATGAAGGGATCAGGGCCCCACACCTCGCTGAGGATCTCAGCTCTCGATCGGCCCTCACACCCTCCCCACAGGAGGCTGGGGGGTGTCGCTTATTTTTTAAAATATATTTTAGAATGAAAATAGATGCATCAGTGCACAACAACAAAGACGCATCAAAGGAATGTTACAGAAACAGTATATAAAGTAAAAATAACCATTATACTGTTGTACAATAAAAAAAAAACAATAACACTAAACAATAAATAATCCAACGCCAGGATTCATAATAAAAAATAAGTTGAGAGTTTGTGTGTAAATAAAGAGTCAAGTGTGAAACAACCCAAGGTAGCAGTAGGAACAGTTTTGGAGAAAAAGCTGTTTTTCAGCCTTGAGCTCCATGACTTCAGGGTTTGCCGGGTGGTAGGGAGGCTGACAGCTGGTGTCCGGGGTGTGGGATCCCGCCTGATGCCCTGGGCCCCCCAGGTCAGGTAGAGCTCTCCCAGGTCTGCAAGCTCTTCACCGATGAGCAGCCACTAAGAGCAGACGGACGCTTAATGATCTTGAGTCTGAAGTAAGAGGCTGATATTACAGGGATGTATTATGAGATTAGTAATGGATGGATTAAATACAATAGACATCAAAACAATGACTGGATTAAACTAATCTACCTGGTAATATACTGCATTGATTTGTCAACAGTTACTAATTGCTAAACTCAGCAGCAAAATGTATCAGAAAAGACCATTTTTTCCCAGATTTCAGCTTGAAATATGCACAGGCAGCTTCAAATATGGTACACTGGCCACACTCAGAGCTGGGGGCGAATTTCGGAGACACGGCAGTCATGCAGCTCTGAGACGGTACCTGGGATCAGAGTGGGTGGCTGATGGAGCTGCCCAAAGCTCAGTGAAAATGGTGCTAAGCACGAGTCTCATCTGGATTTGCTCTTTGAATAGCGTGAAAAGGCTTTTTTCCTTATGCATGTATATAACTTTTTAGAGTATCTGTTTCTATAGTTGCCGATGGTACCTCACTGTTCATACAGATTGGCCGCTTGCCGATTATTGGTGCTTCCGTTTTACTGCAGTCACACATTCACGTTTATTAATGCTCTGAGACAGAGCCGCATCCCATCTGGGGTGTTGCCCGGCCGCACCCTGCGCTCTCTGGGGTTGGTCCAAAGGCATCACCACAGCACTGACCAGGAGGTCATTTCAGATCATGTTCATTCTCGCCTTTCCAAAGGTAACTAAAAGAAACCATCTCTCTCCCTGGCATTTGAGGAAGCAGCCCTTTCTCCAGATAGTCAGCCTGTAGATCATCTGCCCCATTCTGCTGTGTGCCACCTTTTACGTCTGAAATATCAGAGGTGTCTAAGAAATGCAGCAGAGAGTGGAATATCCAGTACGGTTTACCATTTAAACCTTGGATTCCATTGGATTGTATTTGCATACCTTGGATTACTACAGACAAATGACGATGCCACAAAGCTACTGTATCATCGATAAATTAAAAAATATTTTGTGCAGATTTGTGTTTTTGCCCTCTGTGGATGTGTATAGGAGGATCATGTAGGAGAGCGTTTGACGTTAGGGTGAAGGGACACAGCTTAATAATTTAAAACCAGAGTGCTGCATGAAGCCAGATTAAATATTTAGTTTGTACACCTGTATATATAATTAATGTTTTTTAAGACAAACGCATTCAGGGAAGCTTGGGCCCTGAGTACTGGGTCAGCCATTCATCTAGCACTCCTGAGGCATGTCATGCTCAAGGCCCCGATGAGGATGTGACTATTCTGCCAAGGATGGAGTTTGAACCCGTGACCTTCTGGTTACAGGAGCAGAGGCCTGAGCCACACCATGTCCCCTCATTACTCCTGGGCTCCACACACATGCGTCATGTACGGCTGTGTCTCTGGCGCCTCCACATACTCTCCTGTCTCACTAACCTCAAAGTTTCCATGTCGTCGGGACGTTTCCTCCAGCCCCCTTGGCCATGTCCACACAGGCTCATGTGCTCCTCCTGCAGCCCGTTATGTGACTAAACCCTTCAGCTGATTATGCTTCCTAGCACAGCAGAACCGCACTCTTTCCCTCAGCGTCGTCAAAGATCTTTACCGTCTGAGAAATTAGCTCAGCTCTCTGCATTAATTGATATCTTCTGTAGACTCGGTCTCTAATTGTTTTCGACGTGCTTCTAATCACATCTATGCCCAATGATGATGTTAGAACTGCATCCAGAATGGTTTGCTTTCATTTGGCATAATTGGCCATTTGTAACACTGTAATGTATTCCTACACCAAAGGGCTTATTTAAAAACAGTTGTCTTATCTACTAAACAAAACTATCAGTGAAGTGAAAGATTAATCCATAAAACCTGTGACTTTTTTCACAGTCGTGGGCTTAGGGCACCTCATGTTCTTCAATCTTTATGCAGTTTCCATGGTTTCCCTGATGTCAGCTTTGAGTTGACTGATATCTTGTTATAACATTGATACCCACTCATCTGAGCTCTTCTTATGACATGCAAAAGCTGTACCAAATAAACAATATGAAGAACATTATTAGACAAACTGGGATATCTTGTTTTCAAAATCAATACATTGAGGAAACCTTTTAAGTAATATTGCAAGTTGTAGCGATCTGCTATTAAATGTAAGTCAGTAATTGTTCTTGTAGTACAGGTAATCCAAAACCAAGTTTTCTCACACCTGAGGTAAGTACATTTATGAAAAAATGTTTGAATCTGGACTTTTGCCATTCATTTGAAGGATAACAGTCGATGGCGTTAGTAGACTTTGACGTTTTCAGGAGATGCCTGAGCAAACATCACGATGCATGTGTGAGAACTGAGCAGCCTGTTCGGTATTCAGCACATCCATCAGCTGGAGAACAGCTTGGAGAAGATGGACCTCAATGTCCAGGAGGCTGGGAAGATCTGGAACACCTACCTGCGAACTGAGCACCACCTTATGAGTGTGTGAACCACCCACAGATTCCAGCTGCTGTGGATTTGCTGCAGTGCTGTAGCCTCACTGTGCAGTTTCCCCATTTCCATACGTGGATGGACTCACCTGCGGACTCACCTGCGACCCCCCCCCCCCCACACACAAGGTGTGTTAATAAACTTTGCTCTATTTGCAGTTGAGGAACATCAATAGGAAAGATTGTCTCGATCAAAGAAGGTATGACATTCAAACTTTATTTGTTTTTGATAAACATTCACTGCTGATACATTCTAATAATCTAGTTATTTCCAATGTCACTTCTGGAATATGTGCATTCATAACTAAAACGATTCAATTCACCAAAAAGAAGGGAGCTCATTCAATAAATTGCTGAATTTGCTAAATCCAATTTTTGTAATAAAACCCACCATGTAATTGTAACATATAGTCACATTCCAGAAGGTGTAACATGTTTGTGTTGCACGCGCATATTTCTGTTGCCTTGTTCCATATGTGTCCAGAAGGTTTTGCTTTAGCACCATTTCTCATGTGATCATGTTTTTTGGCTTCTGCTACCTGACCTGTGAGCAAATCTCCCAGGACCAACCCCAGGCTTCTTCTGGAGAAGATGAATTCCCTGAAAGAAGCTTTGAGCTGTGCCGGCCTGCAGGGCTGCTCTGTGTAATATGCCTAGCAGTGTTTAATGGGAGGTTTTCATGTTGGGAACGGTGTTTACGCCACAGGGTTCCCCTGGTCCTGTGAAATGGCCCTAACCCCCTCGGCTGTTATACTGTACAATCGTTAGACCGGTAGAGCCCCACGAAATGACTGGCCACACATAGAGAGACGCTGCGGGCAGGAGGCATTCTGTGGCTGCTTCAAAGCATGAACCCTCCCAGACGCTGGAAGCAGAGGCCAGTCATGACTCATCAGACAATCTTAGTGTTTTCCATTGCCGAGGGGCCCAGCTTTTGTTCTCCTCACACCAGATTATGCCTGTTTGTGCCCTGGCCTTGGATATGAGTGCTTCATAAATACCAGCATTGTGAAGCTCACGCAGTCCTCATTAATGTCTGAGGCTGTACTTGTGTGGTATTACGACTCTCCTGGTTAGCGTCTCTCTGCATGGTGGACGGCATCGTCTTGGGCCCCTGTCCCTATGTACCGGTGTGGCTTGTTTGTGTTTGGTGTACGCTGTTTTCTGAGATATTTCAGAGACTTGTCACATGAAATAATTTTGCATTTGTTTGTGGCTGTTGCAGCTGCCGTTCGAGTGCCGGCTCTTAGTCTCATGTGGCCGTGAAAAGTCGTATATCACAGTGCCGATTGGCACGCCTGCCACACACACACTGCCAACTGGCATACAAACTAACATCACTCACCTTTGTAGCTGTTTGTAATTGTCATTCGGTTACTTCAAAGTTAAAGTCCTTTTTTATTTTTCCATCACTTTGTCTTTATATAATATATAATGTAGATATACTTTTTAATTCCCTGTAAAGCTGCTTGCAGTCATGTTTACTGGTGTCACTGGTGACACCCTAAGGAGTTTGACATTGGGGGGTCCGAATTTGCCCTGGTGGTGGGGGTCCGATGTATATGGTCACATTGCAAAGGGCACACATGGAATGAAAGGATAAGGACGTAATAAAGACTTTAAAATAATGTTTAAATTATCGGCATTTCATCATTTAAAACATAACATTGTTTAGAGACCAGTTTCAGAACTAAACATACCTTATAAAGATAACTGATCCATATGATAAACTGCGTCTGTCTGACACAGGACTACAGGCTTTGTTAGGTATATGTATCGTCCTCATGCCCTGCACACGCAGCAAATTGGTCTCAGTTGTCTTGCTCGGAGCAGGAATGGAGCAGGGAAGCAGGCAAAGGGAATCGTGGAATCGGGTAAACACGGGATTAGACAAACAGCGACGTCAATGACCGGACTGGGGAAACATACTTAAATACACAGAGCTAATGAAACACAACCAGAAACAGCTGATGACACAGGGATTCCACCCGAGGTAGCGAGGGGGCGGTGGCACACGGGAGGATCGGCACGAGCAGGGCATGACATCAGTAACGTGCAGATTCACAACAAAACATCAGGAACACGCTCTAAATCCATTATATCCGTTTTATCTGCATAATGACAGAAGAGCGTTAAAAAGCAAAACACTAAAATATAACTATTTGTTCATGTTCATTTTTGACCACGGCTATTTCTGATGGCCCTGGTTGTCACATCACTTAGCTATTACCGTGGTAAATGTCTATAGACCGAGCTGGAGATCCCGGCATTGTTGCACCTCAGCATGAGCCCCACAGCAGGCTGAGGCATCATAAAGGCACTGAGCGGCTGGGTTTCCCTGGCAAAGGAGAACCAGGACCTGTGGAGGTAGGAGATGAAGATGCTGAAGGAGCTGAAGCTCCACCGTGACCAGCTCGCTCTCTGAATCAGGTACCTCAGTAGAGGCACACACCATCAGTTAGAGACATGCTCACTATACAGTATCATTAAAATACTCCCATACAACACACACATGCTCCAAACGGATATTTCTCACTCACACACACACCTCACAGAAAGCTCTCACTCACACTCACACACACCTCACAGAAAGCGATCAGTCACAGACACACAGGCCACACAGAAAGCTCTCACTCACTAGGGTGACCACCTAATCCATGTCAGGAGGGACACTATGAGGTACAACAGGATTTGTAAACTACCATTTCATACATTTCAATTAAAAGGACCAGGATTTCACTTAAGCACTGGGTTCTTGCCGTATGCTGATTGGTCAGTCTCCTATAATCATGCATATGTGTCAGTAATGTTAATGCGAAACAGCCGGATGAGTCTTTCAATCTAGGAACTAACCAAACATTTTAGCAGAGCACAGAATCCTTTCAGCT